ACTAATTCAGCAACATCTTTTCAGTCTGCGCTATAAATGCTACTCTTTCTCAATGGTGCGACTCCACTCCGCCGGGTGATCACTTAAAGTTGCTGCAGTCGGTATGCAACGCCAACGGTATGCAAGCCACCTCGATCGTGCAGGAGTTGCCTTCAATACCCGCAATCGCGCTATTGACAACACTGCCCACAGTTGTATAGCAGTGTTTGTTTTGTGTGACACCACTGTGTAAATGATTCATCTGATGGCTATCCATGAAGCAAATTAAGGCCCGATATTCTCCCACCCTTACGCTTTCCCTGAATTTCAGTCAGAATATTCTGTACTATTCCTGTTAGCGTAACTGAAGGAAAGTCTTAGCTTGGATACAACATTTTTTGCTTTCTACCATGAGTCAAAAACGTTTGACAAACCTTGGCATATTAGCACTGGAATCCGAAATTGTCCGTACTTGCATGGCAATTATTTCGATTTTGCCGACTAGAAAGCTCATAAGGTTTATTTAAAATGTCACGTTCTTACAAGTACAGTTGAAAGTCGGTCATACCTAATCGATCTACCAAAAATGATATTAGCCCGAAGTTGAACCAAAGTGTACTAAATACGCACTGATACGTGAATAGAAATATACTAATATAAATATTGGAACAAGAAAACGCAGATGATTTTATTTTTAGCATGCTTTTAATGCTATTTTCATCGTTATCAGTCAATCAAAATCTATACAACTTTTCTTCTGTGACTAAATCAGTACCCTTCAGTACCATACCTCAAGGATTACTCAAGGAAACGTCTATGTACTAGTATTGCCACCCGAGGAGTCCTCGGGGTATGTTTCATACAATCCATCAAGGAATTTCCATAGAAGAGTTCCTCGCATCGAGGAATTCGAACAACTCAAGGAATACTGCAGGATTCCTGCAGTTATTCGAAGAGCATTTTGAACTAAATACCCAGAGAATTCCTGGGGTATACTCTGAGGAATCTTTGAGGAACCGTGAGGAATCTGTAAGGAATTTCACCCCCCCCCTTTTCCAATTCAATAAAAAAGAATTCAAAAAAATTAAAAATTATTATTATTTTTATTATTATTATTATTACAAATTATTTTTATTATTTATTTATTATTACTAATTACTAATTATTATTTATTTTTTTTTGTTTTTTATTGTTATTATTTTTTATGCACGTCAAAGCGTGCAACAACACTTTCTCCGGCGGTTTCCCCGGATCCACCATAGATATACTATCTGTAAATAGAATAAATAGAAATAAGATATCGCTTACATTATTTGTTATTAAAATACATACCAATCAAAACTCCATAAAAATTTGGAAACGCCTTTAATCTCTTCTTCCTACTTACTCCGTCAATATTGTACTGGACGATCAGGTCCTCCACGAAAATATATTTTACCGACTTGGTAAGGGGTCCGCGCTTCAATATATTCGTCACTGCGGTGGTCTGCAAAAATTAATAGGTATTAAACATTTTTTTATATTTAATATATAAATATTATACTCACACATTCTTTCTTCATGCCGCAGCCTAAGGCGAAATCTAAGGCTGCCAATGCCTCGTCGGTGCTGGTGGCCTTGCCAGGTCACTTAAATGTTTTTTAAAAAATTTAACTTCAAACGCAACAAACAAACGCGTGTAATTCATATGCATCTTGAACATCAAATGCAAAGAGAAGGGGAGAGGCAAGACGAAACCGAAAATTGACAACCGAAAATTCTTGTGCGTTCCAGGGTATAGTCGACCAACGCAATGCCTTGTAAATAGAATCGTAAATAGAAATCGTAAATGTAAATAGAAATACATTTCAATATACCATTAGATAGATAAGATAAGGTAAGATTAGATAAGAAAAATTTATTAAATATAATCTTAAATATATAAAAATATTTCAACATATTTTAAAAAGGGTATTCTGACGTCGCTTCCATTCACTTGGTTTTCGGCACACATTTTTTTTCTCTCCCTTCCCTCCATCTACATCTCTCTAATTGTCTCCCTGTCGCGTGCCTCTGCACCGAAAATATGACGTAGAAGCTTCGAGAATCATCGTCGAAAACCGAAAACAGGTAGAAGTTTCGTTTCCCCTTTCGTTTCGGACTTGAGTAAACGAAGCCCATGCAATTTGTTTTTGTTTTTCGAACATGTCGCCAGGAAACGTCGAAGTAAGGAATTTTGGTACTGAAGGGTAAGGGGAAAACTAACACATGTTTAAAATTTGAGTGTGTGCGTAGCAGAGGAAAACAATGAGAGCAGAGAATTTACTGAGCGAAAAAAACGTATTTGTTGGTCCATTTCCGATCGTTCAGTTATATGGCAGCTATAGGATATAGTCGGCCGATCCTTATGAAATTTGGCATGTCGTAATGTTTTGCCAAAGAAAGCTCTCGTGTCAAATTTCAACTCTAACTCTAAAAACACCAAAATTATACCATTTCCGATCAATCAGTTATATGGCAGCTATATGATATAGTCGGCCGATCCCAATCGTTCCGACTTATATACTGCGTGCAAAGGAAAGAAGGATGTGTGCAAAGTTTCAAGTCGATAGCTTTAAAACTGAGAGACTAGTTCACGTAGAAACAGACAGACAGACGGACAGACGGACATGCTCATATCAACTCAGGAGGTGATCCTGATCAAGAATATTTATACTTTATAGGGTCGGAGATGTCTCCTTCACTGCGTTGCACACTTTTGGACAAAATTAGAATACCCTCTGCAAGGGTATAAATATATCACATAAATGTACGATGAAATACATCACGAATGGGGGATTTTGAATACGTAACCTTGTTAGCGTGTGAGTTTAAATAGAAAATTCCCTAAACTCGTAATTCATACACAGCTCCTGTAAATTGGTTTATCGCGTACTATTTTTCATCAATACGCTTTTTAATCGGAATATAAAATTGATTGAAAAAAACAAATATGGAAACCGGAATTCAACACGAGAAAGGGGGGAGAGATCTAAACCGGGGCTCGCATGCATGGAAAAACCAACTTAGAAGTTTCACTTCTGCGAGTCTGACACACACAGTTTTTTTTTTTTTTTAACTTTGCTATCCACATTACTTAAACAAATGAAAAACTACGCTTCCCTATCTATATTCTCCATGGAGAAAACTTTTTCCAACCCAATTTCTGAACAAAATTTTTCTCTGTGGAAACATTTTGATTTTTAAGTTTGGGCTGTCAAATGAGTCGAAATGAGAGCAAATGAGAGAGCTTCTAAAAAAAATTGAGAATGCTCACACTGTCAGTGTGCCGGCAGCGCTGCGGCAGAATTTCCTACCCTATACTCGTGTGCCATGTAAAATGAGAGTTTGCCCACCAATGGACTAATCTGATTTAGGTTTTTGTTTTTGACTTCATAAAAAAATGCATCTGCCAATTACACTTGAACGTAACAGAAGATTAAGAGATTGGCTGCCCAGTTCCTGTTGATTTATGGGGTTATATACAGTTGTACCGCGCAAGAATATGGAATTTTATCGATTTTTTTTTGACACCATAAAAAATATTTATGAAAAATGTTTTATCGACGTTGTTTAGTACATGTTTCTGGGTACTTAATTAAATTTTTTCATAAAAAAATATTACATAACAAAAATGTTATAGCCGAATTCCCGAATCGTCTTTTTTCGATGGTGTCTTGCGGTGGACAGGATTTCTCGAAAACGGTTCATCCCAAATCCAAAATTCAAAAAAGTTTAGTTAGTATATTGTATTGTCTAGTCCGGGAACGAGGGATTTTTAAAAATTTTGATTAAAAAAAAAATGGCGACGTTTTTAACAAAAAATGTACTTTTTCAAGGTATAAGATTTTTGTTTTTTGTGCTTTAAAAAAGGAGTTTTCAATGGAAAATCCCTCGTTCACGGACTAGCAAATATCATAATAAATAAGTGGTCAAAATTTGGTGTTGATCGGATTAGTAGTTTTTTAGTAATCGTGTCCACCGCAAAGGTAATTTCCCAAAAAAAAGATTCTGAGATAATCGCGTTTAAAGTTTAAAGTTTGTTCAAGTTTTATATGCAGATAGTGCGCTATAAATAGCTACAGCTTCGGTTATAATGCTCCGATCATAATGAATTTTTGTGAGAGTACTCCCAATAGAATATACTTTAAGAATATGCAATAAAAAAAAATCGATTTTTTCATATATCACAACTGTATATAACCCCTTATGTCTTGTATCAAAACATTGACACAAAACACAGATTGGCTGACAGATTCATCAAGAACGAAGATATTTCATTGCCTGCTACTGCCAGGATATGCATGCGCGAAAAATTTAAGAAAACTTTCAACACTAAATGTTATTGCCAAGATATTATTAATGATGACTGATCAAGAAATATAATTTTTAAACTAACGTAAAGTGTATCCGCTATAAGCAGGAATTTTTTGTTAAAATAAAGAAAGTTCAACGTTCTTTTAAATATTAAAATAGCCGTTAATTGTATATCTGCATAGTCCATCTTTCCTGATACTTCATTGCACAATAAATAATAAAATATTAAACGTAATTTTTTTATAAACGTTTTTTATAAACGTAATATTAAACGTAACGTAACCGATTCCAGCAAAATATGATGTGAAAAAGTTTCATCTAAAAAAAAATTTGTTTATAATGATTATGATAATGACGAATTTATTTTTTTTTCCAGCTATAATTAATAACCTATAACCGCTATAATTAATTAATATAATAACTCATTATTAAAGATTGTTCTATGATTAATTTTAAGCTTAAAATTTTCAGAAGACTCAATTTTTCTTAGCAGCTAACATATTTCTTAATTATCCTGGAAATTTAATAATCTTCAATTCAATAAATATAAATCTAACATTTTTAGCTATCGTGGCTCCTGCCAAATGGCTTCAAATATAAACATACAAAAACTGCATTTGTGAAATTTATGCATCCCTAGAAGTCATAAACATATGTATGTTTATATTTATACCAATACAATATCGATATATCGGTTCCACATTCAAAGTCGTTACAAAATTTGACGTTTAATCTTTACTTTAATAAAAATGTAAATAATATAATAAATATTCCAGTTGTATTTACTAATCCAGCAGTTCGAATGATACTTTAAAATATATCATAAGAGCTGTTGTGAGTATTTTAAGCGGTTCTCTCACTCTTTAAAAAACGATCACGGTGTGTAGGTACGTGCATACATAGTCATTTTTTTGTTGCCACATTGTTTACGTGGGCAGTATGACAGCTTTCATGAAAGGTCAAAGGTTCCCCAATCTAATCCATTTAGAAATCGTAATATCAGATTGTAGAAAAAATAGATTATAGAATATTAGTTACCCAAGAACTTAGCGACGGAAATAAACAATCATTGTTTTTGCTTTCAGTGAACCTATCGCCTCAAAACCCAGTGAAATGAGGCTTCCTAAGAATAGAACGGTCTTTTGGAACTTGGCAAGTTATTGAGCAAGTGAATTAAACTATTTTTAGTAGAAATAACTTTTGTTTTTTTAGGCCAAAAGTTCCCTCCCCCAAAAGACACAAAACATTATTTCTAACCAAATTTTGTTGACGAGATTTAGCAGCACGAAAAAGAGTTCCAAACAGCCAAATCTTTTGCCTTACCATGTCCTGCCTCTTGAGGAAACGTTAACACGATTTATGACTAGTGTCGAACCGTTTTTGACGTCAGAGGAGCTAAAACATCAAACCATAATCACCCAAGAGTTTTTAAAAAAGGAGGGAAAAGACTTGCAGATACTATTGGAAAATACTGGCAACAAGGAGAGAAATTGGCTAGCACACCGTTGGTTGAAAGCTGCCTATTTACAATATCGATCCCCTGTTACTGTATTTGTTAGTCCTGGCATGACCTTTCCTAAGCAACAATTTAATGATGCCCAATCATTTATCGAATATACATCCAAAGTTATTTTTGGATTAGGTGAGTTTAATAACATGGTTCAAGCAGATAAGATTCCAATCGTTAAGATGGGGAAACTGGAATTGGATAATAGCCAGTTTGGAAAAGTATTTGGAACTTGTCGCATTCCAAAACGAGGTACTGATGATATAGTCTATAATCCATGCGCTGACTACGTTGTGGTTATCTACAAGAACCATGTAGGTGAAAGCCCTTACATTTTTATTGATTATAAATTTTAAGTATTTTCTCTAAAACTTAGTTCTACAAGCTGCATATATACGATTCGAACGGAGAATTAATTGCGACCGACTCTTTGGCTGAAGAACTGAAAAATATAATCGCTAAGGAACCGAAATTTGGTGTACCTTATGGTGTTTTGTCTACGGACTCAAGAGACAACTGGGCTGAAGCTTATGAGCACTTATCAAATTATCCTCGCAACAGGGATGCTATAAAATCCATTCAAGGTGCGATGTTTACTGTATCACTTGATGAGTGCACTAAAACAAAGGAAGGTGAAGACGCCGAAGAGTTGATATTATCATTAATTCACGGCAATGGCAGTAAAGTCAACAGTGGTAATCGGTGGATGGACAAAACCATTCAACTTGTATTGAACCCCAATGGGAATGTGGGGTTTACCTATGAGCATTCACCAGCTGAAGGTCAGCCAATCGCAATGATGATGGACTATGTAGTTAAAAAAATGTGAGAAGCCAAGATTAGTATAAGACCTTATGTTAATGTCCAATTTTTGCTTTTTTGCTTGCTTTTTTTTTATCTTAAATTGAATTTTTTTAGAAAAGAAGATCCGAACTTCGGAAAGGGAGGATCGACTAACACCACTCCTGCCGAAAAAATAGAGTTTTGTCCTCTTAATGAATGCATTGAGCAATGGCTTGTTATCGCGCAAAAGAACCTTGACAAACTTGTTAATAATCTGCAGATGAAAGTTCTGAAATTTGATGGTTATGGCAAGGACTTTATAAAAAAACAACGGTTGGGACCAGACAGCTTTATACAAATAGCTTTGCAACTGGCCTTTTATAGGTAAAATATCAGTATCCTGCGTGAAAAGTAATTTTTTATCCATATTTATAGAATGCATGCAGAACCAGCTGCGCAATACGAGTCTGCTCACTTACGTATATTCGATGGCGGACGGACAGAAACAATTCGATCCTGCTCTAATGAATCCGTCGACTTTTGTCGTTCAATGCAAAACGTAAAATTCACAGACCAAGACCGTGCTGAAAAACTTCGCAAAGCCGTTGCGGAACACCAACTGTATGCCAAACTGGCTCTACAAGGAAAAGGTGTGGATCGTCACCTTTTCGGATTGAAGTTAATGGCTCTTGAGAATGGTCTACCTATTCCAGAGTTCTTTTCATCACCTGGATTTATAAGGTCTTCAAATTTTCGAGTGTCTACATCGCAGGTGGCCACAAAATATGAAGCTTTTATGGGATACGGGCCGTTGGTAGACGATGGATATGGTTGTTGCTATAACCCGCGTGAACATGATATTATCTTGGCCATATCTTCTTGGCGATATTGTGAGATTACAGACCCTTTGAAGTTTTCTAACATTCTTGAAAAAAGTTTTTACCAAATGAGAGCTGTGCTTGAAAATTGTTCTGATACCACAAAAAACTTTTCCAACCCTAAAAGCAAATTGTAATACATAAAAAAAATTGTATCTTAACCCTTATAGGCGCAAATCGCAAGTTGAAGTCATAAGGTTAACGGTGAACTTTTTGAATTAAAAATGGGGCGAATAATGCTGAATGAATTTAGATTGTTTTGAATTTTTTTTTTTACTTATTACATCCACTTCGTCATAAAAATACAATGCAGATAGAATCACGAAAACTTCGCTAATTTTATACCCTTGCAGAGGGTATTATAACTTTGGTCAAAAGTTTGCAACGCAGTAAAGGAGAAATCTCCGACCCTATAAAGGATATATCATATATTCTTGATCAGGATCACCTCCTGAGTTCATATGAGCATGTCCGTTTAGTTTCTCAGTTTTAAAGCCACACCCTTCTTTCCTTTGCACGGAGTATATAAGTAGGAACGCCCGGGATCTTCCGTTGTGCAATATAATATAATAAAAAAAAAAATACAAAACGTAAAACCCACTTCCATTCGGAACGTTCTGACGGCTGGTAACACATAAGCACTTTGCACTTTTTTCCTTAAATTGTCAAAAAAAAGAGAACTTTCCATTTTAAAAGTTGCAACTTTGCAACATCGAACAAGATTCTGCATAGAGGGAGGAATTTAAGAATTTCATAAAAGAGGGATTTATTAGAGATAGAGATTTTAGAGACATTAGATTTTTCATTTCAAGTTATAACGCTTTTCCCAAAACAAGTCAGTGCAATTTTACTAGCGCTCCGGAGTAAAAGTGTGTAAAAGAAAGGAATAAGCGAAAGGGAAGGGCACACTATTGCTCCGGAACGCAAGCAAGATTGCACTGACTTGTTTTGGGAAAAGCGTTATAACTTCAACAATTTTCTAATGAAACTGGTCTCGTTTTATTCAGAATTAACAAGACAATGTGTCAAAAATGATACCATTTCTTGGAAGTTGTACCGAAAAAATGGCGTCAAAGTCCGAAAAACACTACAAAAATTCAAAAATGTCAGTTTCTTGCGTAAAAATTTTATCTTTTTTGTTTAAATAAATTAAATATCTATTTTATAAATATCAAAAGCTACAACATTTAACTATTGAAAAAACGTAAACAAATTTTAAATCGGTTTAAAATTACGCGTTTAGGAATTTTTAAGAGCAAAAAAGTTCCGAAAAATCGTTTTTTCCAAATAAATCAAGATTTTGAAGGTGTTTGAAAAATTTCAAACATGTTTTTATACTATATTGGACCTAATGAACAATTCCTACTAGGACTCTTCAAAAGTTCCAAATCACTGTCGCACTGTGGTATGGGCGTCGCGAGAGTAATATTTTTCATATAATCTTAATCGCATCTACGATTGAATCATTCTAAAAATGTAATACAACTTTGCTCTTATTTATTTTGATTGCGGCAGTTTCTACCAAAACAAAAACACTACGAGAAGTGTCGAACTATTTACACTTGAATGTAAATTCGAATCTTTTTACATCATAACGATTACCGTTAATGGTGTTTTCTCAAGAAATAATTTTATACATTGATATTGTTATACGCACCCTCCAAAGTTCCTAATCACTGTCGCACTGTGTTATTACAACGGGAGTTAATCCCCTTGAGTCAAAAATGCCCCACTCAGCCAGGCAAGGACCCTGTGCTCTGATGCGGCTAATTTTTAAAAAAAGGAAAACATCGGATCCAGAAATATCTCAAAAAGTATAGGAAGAAATGGACATCTTGGAGTCAGAAAAATACAACGCTAATGTTTTACAGAAGACATTGATCAACGAGCAGGATACAAATGTCATCAACATCAACGACAATGACAACGGTGATTCCTCCAAATCACAGAAAGTACCGCTTAGCTATAAAAGCAATCACAAAGGTCCTTATATTGTTTATATTGACAAACTCACTAACGGTGACAGTACCAGAGAGAACCGTGAACCTATTAATGCCCACGAACTAAATGCAACTATTTTTAAGCTTAAACTTAAAGATATATTAAAAGTCAATAAAATAGGCTACGGGCGTTGTAAGGCAGAGTGCAAGACAGCTAAAGCTGCTAATGATTTATTAAATTCTGATCTAAAAAAAAATGGGCTACGACCTTAAAATTCTTAAGCATTTCAATTTTAAGACTGGAATTATTTGTCAAATTCCAATTAAATTTAGTACTGACGATTTAAAAGAATTCATTTTATCCCCAGTGCCCATTCACGAAATCATTAGAGTTAATAGAAAAATTAAAAACAAAGAGTTTACCCCACGTCCAAGGTTAAGATTATTTTTGAAGGCTCCCAGATTCCAGAGGAAATTGACTTCCTTTATACAAAGGTTAAAGTGGAACCTTATGTTCCTTTTAGCCAATGTTTTAGGTGCTTCAGATTTGGGCATTTTGCTCAGCACTGATAGAAGACTGAAGAGAAGTGTCGCAATTTTTTCCTTTCTCATCCAAGAGAAGGACATGTACGACACTTAAATGTATAAACTGCCACTTCTCCCACACCGCTACCTCCCTTAAATGTCCGGCTAGGAAAAGAGCGTTTGCCATACAGAAATGTATGACATCGCAAAACCTATCTAGAGTGGAAGTTAAAATAAGATATCCTGCTCTCTTTGATAAGCTAGCTCCATCCACTCCTGAGATTTTTAATACCACCGAATTCCCTCTACTACAAGCCCCTAAAAATTCTGCAACCCCGGTTTTGCAGGATAACACCAAATTAGCTGCTGAATCTATTTACAAATATTTACAACAAAATAGCTAAAACTTATAAAAACAAGTCAATCGAAGGTAGAAAGTCGCAAGAGACGATGTCCAACTGGAAATAAATTATTAAAGATCATGAAATATCTCTTGAGGAAAGATTTGTTCCCCTTCAAAGGGCTAATCTTTCCAACCAACCGGCTGATTCTAGCTCTTTCCCACCTTCAGCCAGTTCTTATCAGAACTCAGCCTTGGAAACAGCTGAGAACAGTCTAATCAACATTTCTTCGGAGATTGCCTCCTTCCTTTTAATAAACAATCCGAACAACTCAGGTAATACCAGATCTTTTCTCGAATCCTTAAGGGATATTATAGCCAAAGCCAACTCTGAAATCGATATTAAAAAAATTAAATCTTTAATCTTTCATCATGATTAAGCCTATAAAAATACTTCAATATAATATTCAAAGCTTTACTTCTCAAAATAACAAACAGTTGTTGGAACTTTTTCTTATTTATAACAATATTGACATTGCCATTCTTTCTGAAATTTGGGTAGTGGATAATGCCATGTGTAGTCTACCAAACTGAGGAGGATGGTTATGGGGGCGTAGGGATTTACGTGAAAAAGAATATTAATATTAAAATCCTAAGTCTTAACTCAAAAATCGAATCTATCGGTATATCAACTAAAAACCTTAGGCACAACTTTAACATATTCAGCGTCTATGCCCCACCTAATTTGAGCATAAATGATTTTAAAGCAGGGCTCAAGGAAACTATGTGGAGGCGATATTAATGCCAAATCGCCCATATGGGGCAGCCTCATTCAGGATAACAAAGGTATGGCAGTGGAGGAAGTACTTTTATCCACAGGTTTTTTTTGTATTAACGATGGTTCTCACACCTATTTTACTAACCCTACTTCCAGTTCAGCTCCTGACGTTTCGTTTGTTAATAAAAATTCCCTTTCTCCTATTTGGACTACTGCAAACTCTAAAATCTCCACAGTAACCACTTTCCAATAATAATTGAGTTATTAAATGTTCGTTCCACTATCACCTTACATAAAACCTTAACGGAAAAAGTTATAAAAGATTTTTCCGAAATTAATATTAGCTCTCTTGACAGTTTTGGTAGCGCATCTAAGGACATAATAAACAAAACAAAAAAAAAAAAAAAACACTATTAATATCAATGAAAATAATAAATATGTTCCAAAAAAGTACTTGGATAATACTTGTGAAAAGCTTTTTAGATTAAGGAATGCATGCAGACAGAAGCATTTCATCAGACATTTTTTTTTAATTTTTAATCTCTTTATATTATATTTTTATTCTTTTAATGTTTTTTCCTAAATTTATAATCCAATCAAAAAAAAAAAACAAAATTTTAAAATCACCTTAACATTGCCTCAGTTCGTAGTGGAACCCGCTGTAAAAATGTCTATAAGTGCGGGCATATCTACGGCATATTGGCAGGCCGCGTCTTGGAATCCGCTGTAAAAATGTAAACATATGAGAGCGGATTCCACGACAAACGGCTGGCAGATGCGAGAGGGAAAGAGAGAATTCGATTTTTAGAACGTAATGTCTTAAATTATGAAACGTCCAAATTGAACCAGTGTGAGACCAAACAGATCAGAAATATCTTCTACTCTTCTTACTCTTCAGCTCTGTTTTTGGTATGGACTCTCGCGCTCTCCTTAAATCCAATTTTAAAAATCATTAAACCAACTTGGCGGGTAGCTCAGGTGGAAGGCACGTGCTCCTTATCCTTGGGGTCCTGGGTTCGATTTCATTAGTTGGCTGTTTCAATTTTTATGAAGTTTTTACTTTTCATATATACTTTATTATTATTATTTTTAATTGCATTCTAGTACAATTGTTGTAAAAATAAGTGACGGACGTGTCGGATGACAATATGCCGGACAGACTCCCTTGAAATTATATTAGCCGGACATAACGGTAATTTTTTTTTTAATACTATTTCTACTAAGGAAAAATAAAAAAAAATTAATATTAAAGAAAGACAAAGTTTAAAGTCTCGATCTGCAGCGATTATAGATACTATTTGTTCTACTAACTACCCAATCGGCGCATTGAAAACAGAAACGAGAAATTTAAATTTAAATTTGGAAGCCAAAACATTTTTCTGCCGTCGTCCGAGCAGTGACACATGCATATGTGGAAACATTCATTCAGGAAACAAAAGTTCAAATTCAGTCTGAAGATAACTACAGAGTATTATCGAAATATCGTAACAAAAATAAAAAGAACTTCTACACGTACCAGCTAAAAAGCAGGAAGAGCCTGCAAGTCGTACTTAAGGGCATCGAGTCCGATCAAAAGCCTGCAGAGGTAACAAAGGCGCTACGAGATAAGGAATTTAGCGCTACGACAGTCTTTAATATCCTTACCAGGGATAGAAAGCCGCATCC